TAAATTCAAGCTGCTGAGGAAATCAGACCCTATCTAGTCTCTAGACATTCTGAATGACCAGGGCACATGGAGCCCTCTGGGCTAGGAAGATACTTCCTGGTAAACTGTGAATTCCAACAATGACTCTTTACAATGTATGTTTGGACTAAATGGCCTGTCTACTGTAGCTTACAGCTAAAGGTGAGAGAAAGGAGCGGGGAATGAATGCCATTTTAAACAGTGACAGCTTGGTTTGAAGAGTACAGGATTTGATCCCACAATGCAAAAGCACACAGAAGCCATGTTTTTCTGGCAGGATTTATCCAAATCTTCCCAACAGTAGCAGGCACACCTGCAAGGCTGACATCAGCAGAACGAAGGAATGGGTTCTTGACTGGTCGAAGGGCCGATGGGCCCAGTGGGGTTGGATGCTTTAAATGTGATTGGCAAGCCTGTGCATCTCATGGCTCAGCCGCTTTCGAGATCTCCAAGCTGTTTCCAGCGTTTGTCAGGCAGCGCTGGGGTGGGCGCTGCCGCTGCTTGGGAAGTGGTCCGATTTGCTTGGCACTAGTGTGTGGATTGGGGGAATGAATCCCAGCCTGCGCCTACTAGTGAGGAAAGGTTCTGGCGTACCAGGATGTACGCTTTATTATGCTTGCAGCCCATGTTGGAACAAAGGGGGGTGAAAGCTGTGCATCCCATCTGCTGAGGCTCAGAAAAAGCTGCTGCCGCAAAATGTAGAAGCTGAAGGTCACTGAATCCTGTCTCTGTTCGGAACAGGATAGCAGCCCCTGACAGATTAAAAGCACAATCCGGGCATGTTTAGACAGGAAAAGGCCTAGGCCTATCAGGGTGCTGGGAGTTTTAGGCCTCCCCCCTCCCAAACATGCCCTGAATTGGGTCCTGAGTGATGCAAAAGCTGACCAAAGCTTGCTTCTTATGGAGAAGAAAACAAGGAAGGCGCTTCATTTCAAGGTACCTGCAGAGCAGGTAGGCCTCTGGATAATTCAGCACAAGGACACACAAGCCCCGCCTTGTGTGGGCAGCAGTGACGGTGTCCTTGAGGTTGTTAGCCAGTCTGACCTTGTGCTGATGCCCCTCCTGCCTCCCACCCAGGATCCGAAAGGGAAGGAAAATCTGTCACCTGAAGATCTCTGCAGCAAGGGCCTGGCATGGCTTTCTGCCTGAGGGCCAGTATTCCTTCTGGAGGAATTCTTGAGGCTTTCGATCCTGAGATGGAGAGCCATGGGGTGGGGGGGTGCAGCATCTGAATACTAGCTAGTTCCAATCAATTATCTTGATGATGCAAACTGCAAATAAGCAAGCATTGCCTCGGGCTACAGACACCATCCTCATATAACCCGAAGAGAGAGCAAGTTTCAGGCAAGCTTGCATAAGCTTCGTTCATCTGCGCACGCTCCACCCAGAAAGGAGAGCTGCCATGCGGCTGATGCCATGGCCCTTTCCATGGGGTCGCTGCCCTGGCCGCAAGCCTCACATAACTGCACAGCCCCTTGCTTTTCGTCGGATGCCTGTCACTGAAGTCTCGTATTCCGACCCCATCTTCCTGCTGGCTGAGAGGCTGAGTGCCTTGCTGGTCTCACTGGTCTCCTGCTCCCACTGGTCTCCTGCTCCCACCCCCTGGATCTCAAGAGCGTCTTCCCCCTCCCTCTCCCCAACTGGGTCAGAATCAGTGCCCCTCTCTTCTTGGGGGGTGGGGGTGACTGCAGAGATGCCGCTTCCCTTCCCTTCATACTGCGAGCTGCCTTGGGGGAGGTGCTTCAACCTTTTGGAAGAGGGGAGATGTGTGAAAGCTGGGGGGCTGGCAGAGGGAAGGGGGAGTGGCTGGGGAAATAGGCCAACCCACATCTGCCCTACAGGTTAGATGGGGGAGGCTGCAGGTGGGACAGGAGGTGGATGAGCCCTGCCTGATCAGGCGTGGAGCCGTAGCCAGAATCCAGTTTAAGGGAAGCCCAAACACAGGTGTCACATCGACACACTTCTTTCCTCCCTTTCGTTCTCTCTCTCTCTCTCTCTCTCTCTCTCTCTCTCTCTCTC